TCTTTCTTTCTTTCTTTCTTTCTTTCTTTCTTTCTTTCTTTCTTTCTTCCTTCCTTCCTTCCTTCCTTCCTTCCTTCCTTCCTTCCTTCCTTCCTTCCTTCCTTCCTTCCTTCCTTCCCAGTGAACAAAAGAGGTGCATTACATTTTTCCAATCATCCTTTTTTCCACTTCATCTACTCATTGTTTCATCTCCAATAACTCTTGTTCATAAATGATTCATAGTCACCAAAATTTACCCATTTCTGTTTTAGAAAATTTAATTGCCATGGGAGCTCTGACTAGATGTTATTTCACAGAGCAGTTTTGTTTTGGAAACCTCACCAATTTTTGCAGATGCTCATTTTCCTAACTAATCAAAATACAAATAATACAATAAATATACTCTCACAAAATAATATGTAAATGATACATATGTACATTTTACCTTTTCTTTTTGCAAACAAAACAAAGGGATGAAATTGAATTAAAAAGAACATATGTAAATATGTAAACATAATTTTTGCTTTTTAACACAGGTGAAAAATGTATTTTTCTAGAATTGTGATCTAGAATGTTAAGGCAGCAAACTGCATCAGATAAACTGAGTATGGGTTGTAAATCTATTTAATTGACATTTTATTTTCTTTCTCCCTCCCTTTCCTCTCCTCTCACTTTAGCAAGGAGCAGCTACCTAGATGTTCTCAATGCAAAATTGCAAGATACTGTGGTGCACATTGTCAGGTAATTATTTTAAAGCATGGATGGACAATGCAGTATTCACACTTTTTAACTAGTGAAATTGTTTTCTAATTACATGGTCCTATTTGAATTGGGATACTGTCAAGCCCAAAAAACAAGAATGATATGTGAAGTTACTTCTGAGTAATTCCTTTATTGTTATTCACCTACAAATAGAATCTTGCCTGACTAAAGTAATTTTCTGCAAAAAACATAGATACACTCTGTGAATTGCTAGACAGGGTCTAACTTTGCCCTTTCTGCCCACTAGACAGTTTTTGCTTTATTGTCCCTTTGTCTTCTGGGAAAGAGCCCCTCCCCCCTGTGACTTTGGGGTACATTCCACTATAAGTTTCCGGAAATAGACATGGTATTCCACATGGGGTCTGGCCAGGGCAAAGTGGAGTAGAAGAACTACTTCTGCAGTCTATATTTTATGTATCTGTTCATACACCCCAAAATAGCATTTGCTTTTGTAACAGTTGCATTTCACTGTTAGTTTACCACTCAATTCTGAATACATTGCTAATGATCATTTACACAATTCTTATTTGTATTTGTTAATCATATCCTATATAGAACATTGCAAATATCTTATTTATACTCCATTTGAAATACAGTACATTTAAAAATCAGAGATGGAGTAAAGTGTTGAAGGAGGAGGTCATTTTTTTTTAAACTACCAACTATTAAAGGGAAAATAATTTCTTTTCATTCCTAGAAAGAAGCCTGGCTGGACCATAAACGGGAATGTAAATGTATTAAAGATATTGACCCTAATTTTCCTCCTGACTCAGTGAGGCTTGTTGGCAGGATTATTTTCAAAGTAGTAAGTTAACTTTTTATATATGATTAATTTTTGCAAAATATATCTGCTCCATTTCTGTTAATGTGGAAACAGATTGTAGATTTCAGAGTTCAAGCAATCCTTGAGATGGGGCCTCTTGAAGAAGAAGTTGAGAGAAACCTTCACTCAGTCAGATTGCCTCATGTTTTTACTTGACAAAATCCTTTGAAAATATCTTTGTACCATGAGGTGCCTATAGCAATGAGCTCAAGTGAGACTTGATGAATTGATATTCTAAACTATGCTGGTTACAGGAGAAACTAGGAAAGGAGCCAGTTTACTCTTTGAGTCTTCTTTCCTTGACTTGTGTACATTTGACTTGGTTTTTATAAGAACTGTGTGATGTTAAGAATTGTTGCTTGAGTTTGCTTGTTTTTGTCTTCTATCCCTTTCTCTTGTGTTCAAAATTGTGTTTTGGAATTGTACTCTTGAGGAATGGAATTAACATGTATTTTATTACTCTATGAGATCCTCTGGGTGTCTTTTGGGTTGAAAAAGCAAAATAAAATGTTCTGTGCTAAGTGAATATGTATGTGTGATTGTGGTGATCGCTCTGCAGTAATCAGCAGGAGTAAAGGTATTGTCTCTTCACTTGACTAGCTTCTAAGTTGATGGAAAAAGAAAGTTAAGATAACTAGAGGCACACATTTGTATGTGTTAGGCTATACATCTAATAGTTGTATGTAATAATGTACATTTGTATAAAGTCTTTTGAAATTATTTCAACTGCATTCTTGGGCATTTGGAAATTAGAAATAGGGTAAACCAGGCAACTAAATGTAATAAATCAATCTATCACAAGTAACAACATATACATTTTTTTTTGCCATTAGAGATATGATTTTATAGTTTCAGTTTCTAAATGAAATTCTACAAAAATTGCTTAAAATTAAAAATTGTATCAGTATTTATGCTGTTGAATTAGTTTGATCATAGGTTGATGCTGATGCCATATCCCATGTTTGCTTCATTTCTTCAAAATGATTAATATCTTAGCTATTTATGAGAGGTTGGTTTTTTGGCACCAATTTCAAAAAGGGAGTCCTTAAGCAGAATTTTGATGCAGTGGGTGAGTTTAAAAAGACTTGCTGCAACTGTTCTAGCAGTGAAATAGATAAAAATAATATGTAAAAATGAAGAAAATGGAGAATAAATTAAAGGAATAATAATAAAATGAAGATGGTAGGATATAAAATTCTAATAATGTTTTCCAATCATAAAGGAGCTACAAATTACTTTATTTCAGATGATTATTGTTTTTCATATTCATGTATATCAGGTTTAAGAGCCAGGGTAGTGCAGTGGTTAGAATGCAGTACTGCAGGCTACTTCTGCTGACTGCCAGCTGCCAGCAGTTTGGCAGTTCGAGTGTCACCGGCTCAAGACTCAAGTTTCAGTCTTTCAACCTTCCGAGGTTGGTAAAATGAGGACTCAGATTTTGGGGGCAGTATGCTGACTTTGTAAACCGCTTAGAGAGGTTAAAGAGATTATACTGCGAAGCAGTATATAAGTCTAAGTGCTATTGCTATTATATCTATTTTTTTTAACAGTGAAACAATTATTTTTATTCATTAGTGTTTTTATATTCTTACCAGTTAAGGCAATCAGTATGCCCATCTGAAGAGCTATATTCTCTTTCTGATCTTCAGTCAAGTAAGTGTTTTTGTATATTTTCTCAAATTTTCTGTGCTTATGTTAAAGATGCGTGAGGACACTCTATCTTTTAAATATTTTATGCAAATGGTTAGCAGCTTCATGGTGAGGATTTCTGTGCTCCCTTGAATTGGATGAAGGAACTACTGTTTGTAGGCAATAATGAAAGTAGAGGGTCTCCCAGTTAAATCAGAAGGTGTTAGCTGAATCAGTTCAATTTAAAGAATAATTTTGGAATCTGTCTGCCCCCTTACCAGATGTTTGATCTTGGAATATTAATGAAAAATTTATATTCTAAATTATATATAGTGAGATCAAAATATTATTTTATTATATATTTCTTAGCAATTGCATTTATTTTAGAGGTTTTTAAATATTTATTTTAGTATGTGGCAATTGTATTTGGACTAAATTCTGAGACTACATTGTTAGCCCTTTCAAAAGAAAACCCGCAGGTGAATGTCACATTTTCTTATTTAGATGAGAATTTCTCCCCTCTAATCCCTGGCTAATTCTGGGGATGTAAATAATCATCAGGGTGCCTGCAGATGCAATATTAATAAAAATTATAGATTACATTGAGCTAGAATGGGGTTTTATGCGCTGGTCTCTTGCTTTCTTTCCTGAATTACCAGCATATACACAGAGGGTGGGAAAGGATTCTATGATGAACCAGGGCGTGGCACAAAGCCAACACAGTCAAATAAGCAAGAAGAGTCCCTTTATTATCTCCAACTTTGCCCCCAATGTCCAGGTTACTTTAGGCTGGAGAAAAACTCTCCCAGGAACAGCTTTTAACTGTAGAAAATTCAGTCCAAAACAAGGTACATATAGACTGTAACCAAAAATCCAAACAAACAAAGAAAGGCAGGAGAAAGACTTTCAGACTTGAAAGCACGGCAACACTCACACAGTTGGGAAGACGCCAGGAACACAGATAAGCCACGATGATACCAGATAAATTCACAATTTGCTCCCAACAACTTATTATGTACACCTTCTCTTTTAAATACTATGTTCCCAGCTGCAGCTAATGAAGGGTATCAGGGCCCTTTCCTCCCCCGTAAGCCACGGAACTCACGTTGCTCCCTTCTCTGTTCCTCCCTGTGTACCCTAGGAAGAAGAGGGAGTGGGGCCTCGGTCTTCCTCTGAATTCCCTTTCCCTTGTTCTACCTCTTCCCTGCTCTGCCCAGCCGAACTATGTCCTTCCCCAGTTTCTTCCACAGCCAACAGAGCCACACTCCCACTCCCCGTCAGCTGTTTGGCCTCCCCCTCTGAATCAGATTCCGACAGGGGCATGACAGATTGAAAAGTACTTTTGGAATAACTTGTAAAAATGTTCTATATGTGTAATCTTTTTTTGTAATGTTTCATTTTTCAAGGATTTTTTTTTTACTCCAGAAAATTAAAACAATTCATTTACTTGTTTTCAGTTCAGTTCATTTCATTTGCTGTTTCCCTCCGGTTTCATATGATATTGGAACTGAATTTATGATCACTTGCTGTACAATTTCTATTGGGTGTTTCTTCCCAGGCAATAGTTAATTGTTCCAGTACAGATAACTGTGTTCTATACAATACCAGTTTATTATCATTACTGATATTTCAAATTCCTTCTAAAATTTTGGGTGGACATAGAGTTCTATTTTGCACACACGCACACCCATGGTCACATGATCACAATTCAGGTCTAGACTGCTTTTCTGTCTGTCACAATGTCCTGTGGGCATGTGATCTCCATTTATTACTTTCCCTACCGATTTTTGGGAAACATGAATAAAATAATTTCTCAGAGACATCCATATGGCTACTTTGGGGACAGACTATAGAGCTAAAATATAAAATGTCTACCAACATGGCTGCTTCTTTGTTTTCACAGTTATGTTTATCTTATTTTTGTTGATTTACTCCCCCTCTCCTTTTGCTCTAGGGATAATTAATCCTGTTAATTCTTTCTATATCAAAGACAAAATAATAGAAATTGAAAGATTATTAAATGAATTAAAATAATTATTAAAGTATTAATAATGCCAATCAAATTATTGTAAGATATATTGTAAGAGCTGTGGTGGCCCATTGGTTAGAATACAGTACTGTAGGCTCATTCCAGGAGTTCGATTCTCACTGGCCCAAAGTTGACTCAGCCTTCCATCCTTCTGAGGTCAGTAAAATGAGGACCCAGGTTGTTGAGGGCAATATGTTGACTCTAAACCGCTTATCTATCTATCTATCTATCTATCTATCTATCTATCTATCTATCTAT